TTTTGGATTTTCTTTGATTAGTCCATAAAAAAGCCTGGGATGATCATGTTGGAAGGTTATCCTGAGGTAGCTGTGTTGCAGAGGAGAGACAGCACATTTGCTGTTTTAGCCACCTATTCTGTTTCATTGAACTACATGCCTGCTTCCCTCCATTTTGTCTGTGCTCATACACTATGCTTTCCCTTCTCTTTCTAACTCTCTTCTACAGAACTTGTGTTAAAGGAAAAGACTCCATTCCAGATCCATTCCAGAGTTACTGTGAGAAACTTCTCCACTCTGACTCTTTTCCTATCTCAGTAAAATGGCAGTGTAAGATAGCTTTATGCAAGCATAAGGTAGAAGAAATACCCATCTAGAAAATTTGCTTTTCTTTCTGATTTTCTTCTCTACCCTCAACCTTCATATTTTGCCCTTATGTAAGCTGTACTTGTGTGTAATTTTCCTAGATTTGTTTTAAGAATAAAACAAAAGCAGCCTACATTGGTTTAATATGGGAAGTCAAAGATGACAGACATCTGGTTCCTAGGCAATAGCCTTCAGTATTAAGATTGGTGACCTGTCTTTCCTTGGTAATAGTGTTAGTACCTAGCCCCCCAATCTAAAAACAGTTTCATGTAGTAAGTCATTGTTGTTAGGTGCTGTTGAGTCAGTTCCAACCTATAGTGACCTTGTATAGTTTCTGAGGAGTGGCTGGTGAGTTTGAACCACCAACCTTGCAGTTCAACCCAACCTTGTAGTCAAGTGCTTATCCTACAGCACCACACCAGTACCAGGTACAAAATTGTTACGTTTCTCTTAGGATGAAATATACTGTGGGTTTTAAGCTTCTTTACAAGAAGATTTTTCATGTTATTTTTGTTTCCATTGGTGAATGAATACAAATCTTCAACGAGGCTCAGCAGAAATGAGAAAGCATTATTCCTGATCCATCAAGTCGTTTTAAAAAAATTCCAGCGCAGGTTTTTGTTTGTTTGTTTGTTTAATTATTATTGATAGTTTTACTTACTCTGCCATTCTCAAAAGAAGTCATCTAGTTCATCAGTGAGATTAGTGGATAAGGAGAGTATACGTACAGAGTGTGAGAGTTGGGACCTCTTTTCTCATGCTAGACTGACCCTGGGTGTTTTGTTTGTTTGAAACCTGCCACAAATCAGATTAGCCTGGATCTTTATTTATATTTAATTTTATTTTGAGGGGAGGTAGTGATGAAGATAATTCTATTTTATATTGGTACAAAATGAACTAGTTGACTTATTGTTTTTGTTAAGTGCCATCAGTTCTGACTCATAGCGACCATATATAGAGGTTCCAAGGAGCAGCTGATGGGTTTGAACCACCTATCGCCAAGTGGCAGCATCGATGGACTCAAACGTGGCAACTGTAGTGAGGTTGGCCCAGGATCAGGCAGTGTTTTGTTCTGCTGTGCATAAGGTCTCTACGGGTCGGTACTAACTTGATGGCACCTAACAACAACATCTTGCGGATAGCAATCCAGTGCTTATCCGACACACCAGGACTTGTACCTAGAGGTATTTTTCATAGCTACTTCTCTTGTGAGAAAAGTCTTATTCAAAATTAACATTGTTTTCCCTATCTTTATTTTGAAATGTAAATTCACCCAAATTTATTTTAAGGCTGTGGAATTGGTGAAAGGGGGATCTAGAAAAGCAGTTGTTTTGTCCCCTCCAAGCTTGTTGCTCCTTTGGGATTCTAGGTCCTTATCAGGCACAGTTTTACCGCGAAGAGCTCTTCAAAGCCATTCAGGCTCCATTCCATTTTTCTCTGTGTCGCTCCAGTTCGTATTTTACAACTCATGCCTAGGAGTCAGTAACAAAATGAATTGCCTTGACTCTCGCTTCAATCCACTTTCCTCCCTTAATATGCAGCCCAAAGTTTTGCAGCTCGCTGTCAGATGGTAGTGCTAGACTTTCACACTGATCCCAAAGCCTCCGCTGGGGCTGTTTCTTAACACGGAGTTACAAACTTTAAGAAAACAGTTCCAAACGAAAATCCACGCCAGGCTTTGAACTCTGCTTCTGTCTTCCGTCAACTGACAGAGTTGCCCTTTTGCTCAAACTCGCAGCTCCAGTTTGCTTTCGGGAGAGCTCCGCTGGGTGTCTGCTGCTTTGCTGCGGCGGGAACACGTGTGTGTGTGTGTGTGTGTGTGTGTGTGTGTGTGTGTGTGTGCGCGCGCGCGCGCGCCATAACCCTGTGCTCCAGAACACGTGTGTGTGTGTGTGTGTGTGTGTGTGTGTGTGTGTGTGCCATAACCCTGTGCTCCAGAACCTAACCAAACCCTAACCAGGCTCCCTAGGTTTAAGAGATCTTCACCCAAAAGGCCAACTGGGGAAAGTAAGGAAGCTTGAGGAGCTGAGCCCGATCTTTTGTTTGTTGAGTTTTATATTTCAGACATTTAGAGACGCAGCAAACAGAGGAAGAGCTGTTCTCCCAGTGTACGTTTTCTTCTCTTAGCAAACCCTCAGGCCTCGTTTCCACATTTTACAGTTGACAGTGAGGATTTTAATAGCTTGCTCCCTTGTTCTCGGGTCCAATCCATGCAAACTGCAGCCGGGTAAAATAAGAGTACATCCTCTGCCATTTTCAGCCAGTTTGTCCTAGCAGCCCTGCCCGCCCTCCCCCCCGCCCTTTTTTTGGGGGGCGTCCTCAGTCACTGGAGTTAAAGCTGTGCGACTAGAAACTCCGCCGGATCTTCCGCGCCGTAGATCCAGTCCACATTTGCCAAGTGCCGTGCGGTCGGGGATGGTGATAAGAACTCTCCTGTGAGGGAGAGCGAGCAAGACTTTAGTCCGGTTTCCATGTCAACGATTCAGTCCATATTTGCCATCAGGCTGTTGGTGGCAGAAGCACTTTCGTGAGGGTAGCGCTGTCCTAGTCCTAGTTCTTCAATCTGCGCCAGGATTCCTGAGCTGCCTGGGTGTGGGGTTAAATGGCAGGGGCCTTTGGGGAGAAAACTCCACGGAGGGGAGGACTCTCAGCCCGGGGTCGGGGTCTCACAGATCGGGCCAGCCACGTGCCCAGCTCCTCCCCTCCCCCCCTTCCCTCTGCTATTGCTCCTAGGGAGAGCTGATGGGTCAGTTTCTAAGAAAGTTCTCTTCAGCCTTGGCAGTCACTGGGATGGTGACGTGGGGCTCTAATGGTAGAGGTAGAAGAGGACCCTAGAAGATTTAAGATTAAAAGGAAAAGAAGAGGGAAAAGAAAAATCGCACGTTACTTCGCCCAACTCAAGTGGATAAATTAATTGTTAGATAAGAATAGTGGCTGTTTTTCAAAACTGCCCATGCATAGTACCAAGGGTGTTAGCTCTTTTCATATTTCACAGACACTGAAGAAAGATGAGGTCTTCCTTTGGAGATATCCATCCTGGCTTCCAGGTTTTCACAGGTTTCCCATTACATTCCAACTCTGAAGAAAATGGCAGGGTAATTGCATGTAAAAATCCCTCATTTGTGTGCAGGCCTCAGGATTGTTTGCCAGCTAGCTCAGAGGCAGTTGATTAGCCAAGCTCCGTTTTATGAGGCAGCCTATAATTTGGTTTCTAGGACCTAATGCACCAAGAGAGTTGTTGCCCCTGAGGACTGCACAGGGAAATGAGGGCACTGGTCCATTCCAGTCAGATCTTCTTGGTTGGCTGAGGGGTGGGAGGTGGAGGTAGGGGAGAAGCACTGGTTTTGTTTTTTGGAGCTGACAACTGTTAGTTTTCTTGGGAGTAGATGAGTTCAGGCTTTTGTAATTATTCTGTGACCAGTGAGTGGACTAAACTCCAGGCACTAAAGAATCTGGAAGGATAATGGTCTGTGGCTGTGAGGTCTTCGTTTATAAATTTGAGGGGAAAAGAGGCCCGGTGTCTAGTGATGCTGGCTGGCCTGGGCCTTCCAAGGTAGTCGTGGGCCTGATGAGGAGTTGGAATCTTATCCAGCTTTCTTAGCCTGCCATATAAAGAGCATTCTGGGTCAATTTGAGGGGGAAAAAAGGCCGCTACTGGGATTTATGGGGTCTGTGGCTCAGGACACCACCACTGGAGTTTTCTGTATATGTGTGGCTTTATACCCAAGCTAAACTGAAGTCTCTTAGAACAAACTGGTAAACTTAAAAGATTCTTTATACTGCTAGGCTAGACAACCAATCTGGGTTGCATCCATTTTCTGTGTGCTCTGTTAGACTGTGCCTATGCTCTTCACAGAGAAAATGGTTTCCCTTCTTTGGCCATCCTCTTCAGCAGTGGTTTGATCCTTCAGGTTCCTCCAGCAACTTCTGTAGGTGGTTTAGTCTTACAGGTGCTGCCTTTGGATGCTAGGATTATTGCTCACTGTGGCCAAAACTTTCTTAGGAGGCGACCATGGGTTCTACTTTTGGAAGTCTGTTAGCCACATGCCCCCACAGAACCTCAGTGGGAAGTATTTTAAGTCAATGGTGAATTGAACAGCTTTGATCCTAAACTCATTTCTCATATTCTGATCTCATTGTTGGATTTGCTCTCCAATCCCTACTTTGGCCGCCCCCCACCCCCTCGCTTTTTTTTAAGGCTAAGTAGGCAGGAGGCAACCTTGGAGATTCCACTTGCTTTTGAAGCCACTCTTCTCAGCCCTCTGACTTTAAGTGACCCCGGGCAGGTCCCCTCACCTCTCCTTTCAATTCTGTAAAATGGGGATAATCCAGACCCCTTGCCCCTAGGGTCTTGTCAGAATGAAATCCTGAGGGCAGGGGAGGAAAAGCGGAAAGTCTTAACAAAGGTCAGTTCTGTCTTTCTGCTTGCAAAGAGTAAACTGCAGAACCTCCCCTCACTCACTCAACCCAGGTCTTTAGAGATGGTTTGTAAAGGGCTTTGAAGAAAAGTGTTGTAGAGGCGCTAAGTAGCAGCCAAGAGACCAGGCCTGCTGCCAGGGAGTCAGACTTGGGCCGAGGCAGCCGCGGTCTCCGGCTCAAGCCAATTTTGCAGCCACGGGTAAAGTTCACGCTGCCCGCTGCTCCCCTCGGTGCGGCTAAAACCCGCCAGGATAGGAACTCGGGGAGGGAGGCGGAGGCGGAACAGACTCCGGCGAGGCTAGAGCTCCGGGCCGGGTTTTCACTGAAGCTTTCAGCGGCTGCGCTGCCGAGCGAAAGCGGCAGAGAGCTTGCTGCCGCCGCGGCTCGTTTTCTTCCCCTCCTCCTTTGTGAGGGGAAGAGAGCGAGTCCGTTCCGCGGCCTGCGCCCGCTCCGTGCTCCAGTCCGGGTTTGCCAGGCGACCGCGACGGTGCTGGGCAAAATGGCAGTGCTGAGCCTCGTGTCGGAGTGAGGGGGACTTGGAGGAGAGTGGGGCGCTCTAGCCGTTCAGTCAAGCCGCCTGCCTGCTCGCCCGCCCGCTGCCGCGCAGCAGTCTCGGCCACAGCTGCGGCCGGGGAGGGGAGGCAGGACGCCCGGCCCGGCCCGCGCTCCGACTTTACCTCCCAGCGCCCGGGCTGCTGCCGCGCGCCCTCCAGCCCGCCCGTCCCAGGTCCCCCTCCCCCCGCTCCCTCCCTCCCCGTCCCCTCCCCCTCGGCTCCCTCCCTCCCTCCCTCCTCCTTTCTCCGGCAGCAGAAAGCGGAGAGTCACAGCGGGGCCAGGCCCTGGGGAGCGAAGCCTCCACCGCCCCCCTCATTCCCAGGCAAGGGCTTGGGGGGAATGAGCCGGGAGAGCCGGGTCCCGAGCCTCCAAAGCCGGGAGCAGCTGAGCCGCCGGCGCCTCGGCCGCCGCCGCCTCCTCCTCCTCCGCCGCCGCCAGCCCGGAGCCTGAGCCGGCGGGGCGGGGGGGAGAGGAGCGAGCGAGCGCAGCGCAGCAGCGGAGCCCCGCGAGGCCCGCCCGGGCGGGTGGGGAGGGCAGCCCGGGGGACTCGGCCCCGGGGCGGGGTGGGAGGGGGGGAGAAGACGAAGACAAGGCCGGGTCTCTCCGCGGACGAGACAGCGGGGATCATGGCCGCGCAGGTCGCCCCCGCCGCCGCCAGCAACCTGGGTAACCCGCCGCCGCCGCCCTCGGAGCTGAAGAAAGCGGAGCAGCAGCAGCGGGAGGAGGCGGGGGGCGAGGCGGCGGCGGCAGCGGCCGAGCGCGGGGAAATGAAGGCAGCCGCTGGGCAGGAGAGCGAGGGCCCCGCTGTGGGGCCGCCGCAGCCGTTGGGAAAGGAGCTGCAGGACGGGGCCGAAAGCAATGGGGGAGGCGGCGGTGGAGCCGGCAGCGGCGGGCCCGGCGCGGAGCCGGACCTGAAGAACTCGAACGGGAACGCGGGCCCTAGGCCCGCCCTGAACAATAACCTCACGGAGCCGCCCGGCGGCGGCGGTGGCGGTAGCAGCGACGGGGTGGGGGCGCCTCCTCACTCGGCCGCGGCCGCCTTGCCGCCCCCAGCCTACGGCTTCGGGCAGCCCTACGGTCGGAGCCCGTCCGCCGTCGCCGCCGCCGCGGCCGCCGTCTTCCACCAACAACATGGCGGACAACAAAGCCCTGGCCTGGCAGCTCTGCAGAGCGGTGGCGGCGGCGGGGGCCTGGAGCCCTACACGGGGCCCCAGCAGAACTCGCACGACCATGGCTTCCCCAACCACCAGTACAACTCCTACTACCCTAACCGCAGCGCCTACCCCCCGCCCCCCCAGGCCTACGCGCTGAGCTCCCCAAGAGGCGGCACTCCGGGCCCCGGCGTGGCGGCGGCTGCCGGCTCCAAGCCGCCTCCCTCCTCCAGCGCCTCGGCCTCCTCGTCGTCTTCGTCCTTCGCTCAGCAGCGCTTCGGGGCCATGGGGGGAGGCGGCCCCTCAGCGGCCGGCGGGGGAACCCCCCAGCCTACCGCCACCCCCACCCTCAACCAACTGCTCACGTCGCCCAGCTCGGCCCGGGGCTACCAGGGCTACCCCGGGGGCGACTACGGCGGCGGGCCCCAGGACGGGGGCGCCGGCAAAGGCCCGGCGGACATGGCCTCGCAGTGTTGGGGGGCCGCGGCGGCAGCGGCCGCCTCGGGAGGGGCCCAACAAAGGAGTCACCACGCGCCCATGAGCCCAGGGAGCAGCGGCGGCGGGGGGCAGCCGCTCGCCCGGACCCCGCAGGTACACATTTGAGTGGGGAGGGGGCTGGGGCAACCAGGTAGCTGGGGGTGGGTGGCGGCAGCGGGGAGCCGATCACAGCCGTGGGCTCTCCCCAGTCCGGGGCCCCCACTGCTGGGGAGCTGCCATTGTCTGGCTCTTCTCTCTTAAAATGGCTGCCTGTCTGCCTTCCTCTCCTTCCCTCCTTTCAGTCTTTGTGTGGGGCTTTCCCAGAGGTGTCTGCTCCCCATCTCCCCTTCTCCTGGTTCCTTTGAACTCAGGGGGTTGCCAGGGGGGTACGGGACAGAGTGTGTGGGAGAAGGGCCTGACCCGGGGTGAGGGGGTGCTGGGGGCTCAGGTTAGGAGCATAGTTGGTGGCAGGAGTTTGGGAGTTGAGCAAACAGTTCTTTGCTCGCCTGCCGCTCCTTTCTGCCCCTCAGCCCTCCTTTAGGTTGTCCCCATCTGTGCTTTCTAGGAGGGGCCCCTCGGACTCGTGGAGACCTCGAGGGAGGGCAGGGGCCTGCTTGGGGGCAGCTAGAGGCCGGCTGCGGTTCACCCAGAGCAGCCCGGGCCATCTCCTGTCTTGGTCTCCGTCGGCCCAGTGGCCTGGGCTTCTCCCTGGAAGTGCTGGTAAACAGCTGAGTGATTGGAGTAGTAAGTGCAGATTGCTTTGGTTTGGGATTTGAATTATGGAGGTAAAATCCTTCTGTCAAAGCCAGGAGACAGTTGGTCTTAGGTTGACATCCTATCTGTGATCTGATTGGCTCCCCATCTCCTGCTCTTGGCCATTTATAATTGCCTCTGATGTAATGGTACAACAATCCTGATGAGCTCATAAACTTTTACACTCTGCTTTTCTGCCAGTGATAACCCAAACCATCGCTGCCACTATCTGCCTTTTATTCCAGAGCTGAAATTGGCTGTGACCTTGAGGAGGGAGGTTTAAGCAGCAATACTGTATCAGCAGGAGCAGAGCCCCAGACAGGCTGCCCTTGTTACATTGTGCCCGAAACAAAAGAGGAGGCAATGGCATTTTGCTTGTACCTTAGATTTATTTTGCTTGTTATGTTTTATGCAGCCTGAAATAGATTCTGTGTTGTTAGAACAGTAGCTGAGTTTTTCTCTACAATGGGTTTGCTGTTTGTTTTGGTTTTGTGACTTTCCTCATGGTATAAATGAATTCTTTGATGGCTCTGAAGACGCATTTGTCTTGTAATTTTGACCCTGTTCGCTTAGCAGAATTGAAATTATTTTACTGGGCCTCTATTCTGTGGTGCTGAATGTGGGATCTTTATGGGGGGCAGTGCTGAAGAAAACTTATTTTTTTGGAGAACTGGAAGCTGAGAGAATTTCATGTATGGTTTGTTCAAGTGTTCAGTTTTAGGGAAGGCGGAGCCCCATTCTTTGTTTACATGTTGAATCTTGTTAACACTTTCTTTTGTTAATTGAACTTTGAGAAAGCAACTAAATTTAAAGGGAAGGGAGTGAATGTTTCTTCATAATTGTGGAAGGGACTTACTCCTAAAGCTTTGGTTTAATTTGTTCTTGGAATATATTTATTCAAATGGGCTAGTTTTGCATTTTAATTTTGCCAGCAATCAATTTAGAGCTAGACAGTTTTTCTTTGCATTTTGTTCCATTTTTTTCTGTCTTTCATGGTATAAAGATGGTGTATGGTGAGACTTAAGACTTGCTTAGATATTACAACTTATAGGTGTCTTTTTGTACATTCATTTTGTTTTACTCATTTTTCCTCTTCATCATGTTTTGTCTTTAAGACTTTGGTCTTAAGAAATATAAGGTACTCTATGGACCTATATGAACTGGTGTGGTTCTAGAGGATCAGCACTTTACTGTGAGCCACAAGGTCGCAGTTGAAACCCACCAGCTGCTTCTTAGAAACCCTATACAGGGTCACGATGAGTCAAAACTGACTGGATGGAACCTAACATCAACAACATGGGCCCATGTATCTTTTGAAAGAGAGGGGCCAAATTTCTTTCAAACACCCTCACTTACAGCAGTAGCGAGTTTACCTTTGTGCTACAAGATTTTGTTCACTTAGATGACCTAATTAGTTGCATTCTTTCCCCTTGCCAGAAATGCTTTTTCTACTCTTCCTTTGGGTTAGGAATTTTGGAAATTGTTGTAGTGGATGGCAGGCTTACAGCTCTGTGTGTGGACTCCATGTCTTTCATGTGCAAAAAGCAGGGGAATTTTAAGTTGTACTTAAAAAAAGTTCTACTGTTTGGCGTATTAGTTTTTGTCTTAGAAAACAGAACACCTTGTCTTCAATTCATTCTATAATACACATTTTTTTTCTTATTATTCTTTCTGTTTTTTAAGCTGAGAAATTACTCTTCTTGAAAACTATTAGAATATGAGAGGAAGCAATTTGAAGATAAACCAAGAAGAGGCTCATTTAAAAGCAAATTAGATTTGAATTGTACTGGTTTGGAGATGGCAATTTATTCTTATAAAATCAACTATTGCTGTTCAACAATCATCAAACAGTGTAAATTTTTGTGATAGGCACTGTGTATGTTATGGGTAGGAGTCCTGGTGTGGCACTGTGGGTTATGTGCCAGATTGCAAAGCTGTTTGAGCTGCAAGGTGAATGGTTCAAGCTTACCAGCTGCTCCTCAGAAACCCTATACAGGGTCACTAAGGGTCGGAACCGACTCGATGGCACTTCACAACAACAACGTTATGGGTAAGTGGGAAGAAGATAGATAAAGTTCCTGTTTAGAAGCCTATCTGTGCTGCTTTTGGATGAGTTTTCTTTTTTAATATCACCAGACCCAGACTTCTTGTTGTAAAGTGTCTTGGAGTCAATTACTACTCATGGTTCCCCACCAAACATAGATTACTTCTGTTCAACATTAGTTCAGATACTTACTCTACTGAGACGCAGGGAATGGGCTGGTGAGCATTGGATTATGGAAGGTACCATGCAGCTTCCAGTTTTGTGGGTTACTTTAGGCATGTGGCGCTACTATAAATGAGGTTGTAGGTAGATGGATTTTGTTCTGAATTCCTCTTTGCTATTCGAAGATAAACTTCTTGGCAGACCATAGTGCCCTACTCTCTTAAATGTTCTTAAATAATAGGGTCTTGCTCTACCTTCTCCTTTTCCTAACCCAGTCCAGAATTAAGACTTGAGTTTTTGTGGAAACTTGATTGGCATAGCTAAGGTGGTAATGTTCTCATTTAACTCTTTTATGAAATTAGGCAAGTGTGTGTTTTTCACAGCAACTGGGAAGATCCCAATAGCAAACTTCCTTTATCTCATTCATTATGCAATATTGTGTCTCAAGGTGTTGAATTTTGCTACTAATGAAGTATTATATGTCACCTATGTGCTTGAACCCTATGTAAGGGATGAATACATTTTCTCTTTGGAAGCCTACCTGGGATGCTTTTGGTAGTAGTACCTTAAGGCCACCCAACTCATTAAGGTAAAAATGGCATATATTAAGTAGTCTAGAACCACATTAGATTTGATTGGCTGTTAGTTCCTGCTGTGGAACTATCAAATGGCATCTCCGACTTCTGGGAAACAAACAGAGGAATCCTGGGTTTATTATGGGAATGCCTACTGGCAGAAATTTTGGGCTGGCTGAAATACAGGACTCTTGGAGCTCTCTCAAGTAGGAGGAACTGGGAAAACTTTACTGAGAATGGTGCTTTTTAGTTGTGGGGGCTTCATGTTTCTCTGTTGTACGTGAGTGAACTGGGGTGATGAGGATTAAGATGGTGGTCTGAAAAGAAAGCACCTAGGACCAAGCTTGACTTCTTATATATGAGAACTTTTAGAAATTCCTTCCTTTGTGTGTGACACAGAATAACCATGACAAGCAGCACCTGTACCTGTAACAAGGTGTTGTAGATAGCATCAAACATTCATATG